ATGCATCGCAAGCCCACCTGTTGTGTGGAAAGCCTTGTTACACATAGAACATACATGTGGCTTTTCATCTGTATGAGACCGCATGTGAATTGCAAGATAGTCGCGAAGTTTAAAAGATTTCCGACAGAGAGTACAGTCGAAACTCCGTTCGTCACAGTGAACAGATTGAATGTGTTTCTTTAAATGTTCTCCACGTTTGTAAGCTTTAGGACATAACGTACACTCACACAACCTCGCGTCAGAGTGTGTCACACTATGAATCTTAAGGTCACCTGCTGTGCGAAACGCCTTATTACATACAGAACACACATGTGGCTTTTCATCTGTGTGAGTCTGCATATGGCGAGTAAGGTGAATGCGCAATTTAAAGGATTTCTGACACAATGTGCAGTCAAAAGTCCGTTCATCACAGTGAACGGTTTGAATGTGAATCTTCAAATGTTCTCCACGTTTGTAAGCTTTGGGACACAAACTACACTCAAACAACCTCTCTTCGGAGTGGCAGCTCATATGCTTCGCAAGCCCACCTGTTGTGCGGAAAGCCATATTACACACAGAACACACATGTGGCTTTTCGTCCGCGTGAGATTGCATGTGACTTACAAGATAGTCGCGAAGTTTAAAAGATTTCTGACACAGAGTACAGTCGAAACTCCGTTCGTCACAGTGAACAGATTGAATGTGTTTCTTTAAATGTTCTCCACGTTTGTAAGCGTTGGGACACAAAGTACATTCAAACAACCTCGTGTCAGAGTGGGTTGCCATATGAGTCTTGAGATACACTGCTGTGCGAAATGCCTTATTACATACAGAACACACATGTGGCTTTTCTTCCGTGTGAGATTGCATGTGACTTACAAGATAGTCGCGAAGTTTAAAAGATTTCTGACACAGAGTACAGTCGAAATTCCGTTCATCACAGTGAACAGATTGAATATGATTCTGTAAATGAGCTCCACGTTTGTAAGCTTTGGGACACAAAGTACACTTATACGACCTCTCTTCGGAGTGGCAGCGCATATGGTTCGTAAGATCACTTGTTGTGCGGAAAGCCTTATCACACAGAGTACATTTACGCCGTTTCCTGGCCGAATGAATAACAGCATGTTTTTGAAGATCACGAACCAGCTTAAACGACTTGTCGCATTCGTGACAAGAGTAAGGTCTGGCAGTTGAATGGACCGTAAGTCGGTGATTTTTTAGGTGTTCTAAGCGCTTAAACGTCCTATTGCAATCTGCACAATTAAAGGCAGTATGCGTTGCACGATGTTTCCAGCAATCTGTCTTGTTATGGAAAGTTTTCGGACATACTATGCAACTGTACAGCGAACCATTGGGCTGCGATCTGGGCACAGCACGCTGGCGACGTGTCTCTGCCACTGAGATAGTGTCCTTACTTCCCGAGCACTCATCTGATCCTGAGTCCGATGACAACGAAAACTCCGAATGTTCAGAAGCTTCCAAATCACTACCAGCAACTTCCTCTTCATGGAATGTCTTGTGTATTTTAAGAAGTGTTGCACGACTGAACCTCTGGTAGCACACATCACATTCAAACACCTGGTCTACATGGATGACCAGGTGTTCCTTCAACGCGTCCTCTGCCTCAAAGCTATCACTACACACAGAGCACCTAAAGGGTAACGAGAGCGTCGCCGTCGATTTGAGTCGAGATCGCATGCTCTCCACACTTTCCCTGCGCAAAACTACTTGCGGAACTCTCGCAAACATTTCTACAACGGCGCCTGCAAAGACAGAGGCCCACGCTGGCATTAACAATCGAAGGAAGCTTCAGAAGACACTCAACCCAACAAGTTACTCTGTAACTGCACCCTCCACTTTAGGGTAGGTTGTTTCCAGCAGGGTTCTAATGTAGCAATAAGGCCAAGAGACACTAGCGAAAATAAATAAATAAAAAACGGAATTAAAATGAGTTAGCGTGTCGCAATAAACACTAAGGTTGACACCCAAACTACTCAAAAACATCTACTACAAAGCATTAATGCAGCAATCAACAAGCAAACAAGAAAGCCCCACATTTTGTTAAATCTGACAAAATCAGAGATAAACGAGAAGGAAACCCTTTACCCAAGTGCATATCACTTTTGGCAGAGTCGTGCAGAGCGGATCGCGCGTAACGGTGCCTGCGGGGAAGGGTGGGGTGGGGTGGGGTGCGGCGGGCCGGGGTCGGGTGGAGGTGCGGGGCACGGGCCCACATACGAACAGGTGGGGGACACGGCATCCAGCGATAAGCCCTTTATCACCCAACGCACACACCTACAGAGACTCCGCTTGATCATATGACCTAACACGCAAATTACAGACAGGGGGGAATTATTTTAGTGATGGTATGAAAAATTTACTGTCCCGAAATGCGTACGACTAGCCGCGCAATGTCACGGGCGCGCCCAAGGATGGCGAGCATCCCGCATTCAAGTCACCTCGCACTGCGCGGGGCCCGCCAGAAACAGGGTCACGGGTACAGAGCCTCGCCGCCCACCTCGACGACGTCATCGAGGCCTACAACAACAATCGCCATAGCGCATCGCACTTCTCCGTAGAAAACGCCAAAACGAAAGGTGTCGCTGCAGTCACGATCCCACTTTCAATTGCGCGCCCTTCCGACCGTCGTAGTCGTTGGGCCAGGCCGGCACACCAACATTTTTTCTACTTTTATTTTTTTGACATTCCCCCCCACCCCCCTTGATCTCGGTTTTGTTTTCAGCTCTCCGCTGTATAGGCTCCCCAGGAATGTGCGCGGCTGTCCAGTGTCGGGACCAGTGTCCGTCCCCCCCTCCCCTCCCTATCACTCGCACAGCCATTGATCCTCGCTACTTTCCCTCCCCGGCGGGCGCGAGAAAAGTGAGAAGAAAAATACAAAGTATTACTGCTGGGCGCTGCCATGCCGCGGCAGGCACGTGCGACTCAAATTGGCGCCGCGGGCGGGGCGGGGCGTGGCCGGGCGGGGTGGGGCGTGGCGTGGCAGGCCACGCAGCAGCAGCGCGACCGCTGCAGGTGGCTTGCCGCTCCAGTGCGCCCGCCGCCGCCGCCGCCGCCGTTCCACAATACAGAGTACTATCTGATATATTAGCACATTCATTCGCCCGTTCATTCATACCACTCGGCCCGGGGCCCGCCCCCTGCAGCAGCAGCAGTCGCCCCTCGAGGTCGGAGGACCCTGGCGAAAGGTTAACGAACGTAAGGGAACACGGGAGCACACGTGGTCCACAAGGCGGCCCGTCGCCAGGCACCGCCGCTTACGAACAAGCTCACTGGGTCGCCGCACACGCTCGGAGTCACATGGCTATACAACCAAAGGTGCCCCGCTTCGCTGCCGGCGAGAAAAAGCCACGCACACCGAATTTAAGAATTTTTGGCAAGACTTTTCTTAGTTTACAAAATAGCTTGTTTAAACAAAAATAGTATTTTTGAAGAACAACAAAGTTTGTTTTTAATGCAACACAATAAATGTTACGTTTATCTTACGAGGCAAATAATGTTTTTTCGATCATTTCATGTTAATAAGATATAGTGTTGCTGTGCAAACAGCACGAGAAAGTGAAAAAATAAAAATTAACACCAGTTATAGTGCTGTCAATGTACATTATTGAACAATCTTTACAGAGCATTACCCTTGGGCGACCATTTCCTTGATTCCGCCCGTGCGCGCTGTCGCCGCCGCCCCCAGCCAGGAGGCGCCATCTCGGCAGTGACCCCGTGACCTTGGGCCGCGCGTGACAAGGCGAGCCCATGCATATGCACACCGCGACACGTCCGCGGGAGAAAGCACGCGGCAAGCCGAGTGGAGCCCGCGAGAGGAACACTCCCCCCCCCCCTCCCCATCCCATCTGCTTGCGCAGCCTCCCGACGCGCAGCGACCGGTCCATCTGCAGGTGCAGACGAATATGGATAGGGAATCCCTCGAACCGCACTACTTTTGAGTCCCGATCGTCTACGACTGACTGCACTACTTACTTCCCCCGCCACTATCGCGACTAAAAAGGGAGCACGCGCTAAACTGTCCGGGGAATTGCTTCCGGCCCGCCACAGAGGAGCCACAAGGGATGCAACGCGATGAGATTTTATGGTCGCGACCCAAAGAAGCGATCGCGCGCGCCCTACTCGCGCGGAGTGTATGCAATCGGCTCAGTGAAAAAACAAAAGGCGTTGTGCGGGTACAGTGCCTGCCGCTTTACAAATGCATCAAAACTGCCAAAGGGCACTAATTTTTAGCACGTTGTTCCGTGACTTTGCAAAGGCAGTCAGCTCAAAATATCTTTCGCACCCCCTGCAAAAGGTGCGACCTGACACTTTCGTTTCTCCGCTGATCGCCGCGTCACTTTGATAGAAAAGAAGCAGCCCACACTGCTGTGGCGCATTCCATCTGAGACAGGTGCATTGCCCACTCGCACCTGTCATCAGGTGCACTCTGCCCCCACACCTGTCATCAGGTGCGTGCACTTAGCCTGCACTCACGACGAGTGCGTGCGGCCTTGGGCGGTGGTGCCCCCGCGCAACGCCCCGCGCGATTCAAATCAGCGCGCGGATTTGCAAACGAGACTGCCCGTCCGCGACGCGACAACCCCTCATCGCGGCGAGCGAAAGCCGAGAGTCGTCCCCTCATTCCCCCTCCACCAACCGGGTAATCTAACACAATGACGTACGTAAACCCTAAGTGGTCGTGAAATTGGGAGCTACCCACTGCGCGCCCGCCCCATATTGACTCGTTAAAGGGGAAGCTTCGCCCATTCAAGGCACCGCAGGCACCGTCAACGCGAAACGTCCGCACAAAAAGAGTATGAATATTATTTGGAGTTACTTTGTGCTACCTAAGATGAATCACCCCTCACACTATATCTGAGTCTTCTTTGAAAGCGACATTACAAAATTAAAAAGAGGGTAATTCATGTCAATTTTTTTTTAAGAATGAGGTTAGGAGAAAGTTGTGGGTGAGTTGTTAGTTCAAAACAAAAAGGCACATAACCACATTAAAAACACACCTTGGTCACATCTGCTCCGGCAAACGACAGAAGGCGTTCTCAATCCTTGGCACGTCAGGGCACCTGTGAACAGAAAACAGCACACTGTAAAACAAGTTAACCATTGACGACACACTAGTTGACAAAAAAAACCCGTCGTCGAATGTTTCTGTAAGTTATGCTGCTTAATATAAACTGTATATAACTTTCTATAACTTCAACTACAAAATACGACGGGGTAGTTTAGTCACTGTCATATTGGTAAAGATTTTCACAACTCGTGTTGTTACAGCTTTTGGCGCTTAATGACGGTGCTATAACACCCACCCTATCCTAGTGTTTCCAGTGTTCCCACGCAATACCCTCGGCCGAGATAGCCTACACTTTCCTCCGATTCATTACTCGATAGCCACGAATTAAGCGTGCCTCGCGGAAGACAAAACTAAGGACTGAAATAATAAAAAAACACTTGCGATGCGATAGTAAAAAAGGTCACTTTCTTCAGGTGGGACGAAGAGAGAAAGTGGCTGATAACAGCTCTGCGCGCTTCATCAGATAGGATGAACTGGGCCAGACCACCACTTCTCTTCCTCGCCACAAAATGCTGCACCCCGGCGGCGGTCCAGCACAGCACAGCCCCTTCCTCAACTCGAGCCACAGACCGAGAGCGAGAAAGGGAGATGCAAAGGATGCTGCTCACGCATTCTTTCCCACTGAGCTCACTCATCCATCCTCAACCTCAGTCCCATCTCTCTTTCGCACTCATCTGGACCCAGGTAGGGCTGGAAGTCCTGGAATGTTTCCGGAAAGTTTCCCGAAAATTTTCGGAAAAATAAGAAAAATCTCCGAAACCCCGGAAATTTTCCGGTTTTTATCCAGAATTTTTTGGAAATTTACCCAGGCAGGACAGACTGAGACGACGCCCTCTCCAGCGCGTCGCACGTGCGATTAAGAGCCCAAGGAAATGCCGCAGGACCCGACCGGAGAGAGACACATCAGGCAGGACCACCGTCGGCCAAGGACATCCGGGCCACACGGCGACAAATGTCGGACAGATCCGTGTCCCGGCCGAGCGAGCGAGCGGAGAAGTGGAATGTCTCGTTCGGTTCCGATCCGAGGCTTGTCCCGTTTTCGAAGGCTGACTGCTTCTATAGCAGCAGCACTAGCAGCGCAACCAGGATGCGGGGCCTAAAAACCAGTGACTCACGCCAAGGTGAGTCAAACCAGAACTATATGCAGCGACGGAGGGAAATTTCGAAAACAATATAACGACGACGACGACGCTGCTGCGTGCTGCGTCTCCTGCAGCGCCAGTGCCACAGCACACAGCCCTCCCTCCCGCGACTATAGACGACAATCCAACCAACCTCCCACAATGATACGTTCCCGAGAGCGCATATAACCTCCCGGCGATAGCAAATTGGATTGCAGAGGAATGCGGCGGGGAAGCCTTAGGCCAGCCTCTCGGGCCGCACAGCGCGGGGCGACGCTCCCTGCACCGGTGCATGTCGGCCCCGCCCTGCCCCGCCAGCTAAGCCTACGATGCCCTACGACCGCCTCCCCCTCCCCCTATTTCCCCCTTCACCCGCCATTTTAATACGTGTACTGATGCAGCGTATCTGCAAGACAATGAACACCGGGTATAATTCAACCTGACATGCACAGTGGCATGGTCCTCCCACGGAAAAAAATAATTAGTTGTCGTAATCAGAAGTTGATTACTACGACCAGAAATTCTAGTAGCTTGTGGGACGATCGACTTTCTGATTGTAAGAACCAAACTTCTTCGTAGTCACTACTTAGTTGCGAAAAGCGGAAAGTTGATTCTGAGGATCAGAAATACGGTCGCCGGGACCATCTTTTAGCTGGTCGTGAGAACTTTCACGATATTAATGCTTGAGCGTGATAACCCGGAGCGTATGGTCGCAGGGACCAGAAAGTTGGTTACAGTGATCAGGCTGTCGATAGAACAAATATAGGAACAATAACAAAAAATATATCTGTGATCTCCCTTTCCCGTAGCCTTTCATTCATCTACGGTCCATCTCCCTGCTTTGAGTTATCAAAGTACAGTGTCAGAAGACACCGTGCAAGGAGAAACTGGTTGGGCGCCGACCGGAGTCGAACCTCCGCTTACTATCCAGCCGCCAGGCACGGAGACCACTGCGCCACAGCGGCGACTAGGAGGGGGGAGGTGGAACGCGCCACTTCGGCAAATCTGGCTTCTGAGAGGCGGGTTGATCGTGATGATCGACTCATTTCGGTTTTAGCAACCAACTTCTCTGTGCAAGCTGACTTAGTTGTAGGAATCAGCCATGGTCTACCAAGCGAGTTGTACTAGGACGAGCTACTCAACTGTTAGTCAGAATCAACATGCCCGATACAAGCAACCAAGTTGCACTCAACGAAGCGGTTCTGGTCGCTACGGCAAACCCTTTTTTTCCGTGCCGTCAGTACCGGCACCGCCCACGCTAGACAGACATACCCTCCAACGCGCGAAGAGGGGGCTCAAAAAAACAAGGATTCTTTGTGCAACAAAACGAGGGGGTGCGCAGGGTGGAAAGTTATAGAGGGAGAGGGAGAGGGAGAGGAAGAAAGGGGAGGGGGGGGGAGAGGGAGAGAGAGAGAGAGAGGGAGAGAGAGAGAGAGAGAGAGAGAGAGAGAGAGAGAGAGAGAGAGAGAGAGAGAGAAAGCGACGGACAGCCCCTACCAGTTGTACTGTGTCGGGGCTTCTCGGAAGGTGGCAATATCTCGATAGCGAGGCGCCAAACAGCTAGACAATAGGCAATCCTGGCGGGACCTCATCGCCGGCCGAAGGACATAAAGGCCGTCCGTCCGAATCACTTATGCCCTGCGCGCCCGCTGACAGGTGCACCCCCCCTCCTTTACCTCCCTTCCTTCCTTTTCCCCTCCGCGGCCGAGGCTCTCGGCGGGTCGGGAAAGGAGATGGAGAGAGGGGGAGAGAGGGTATTACAGTCAATCCGAGCCGCATTCCGAGCCTGCAGCGCGACCTGCAAGGGAGCGGGGAGGAAGTAGGGGGAGCGGGGCGTACAGCCACTCCCACACTGTCCACCAGGCAAGAAGTTAATTACCCCGGTTCAATTCCCGGTAGCGCGCTGCCCAACACAATAAGGGCTTTTATATATATTTTACTCTGCTTAAAAAGGAAATCGCATCCCCGCAGCGCCGCATGCAAAATGCAAATCGTGTCTGTCGTCGTAAGAAAAAATATATGCAGCAGCAAAACTAAAGCAACTCCAATATCTCTTTTTTTAAAAATAAATAAAATCGGAATGAAATATCGAAATTATTTTGCACGTGAAAATAACAACGAATTCCGGCTGACGTAGGATAGGTTATGTAGAAGCCCAAGCAGCAAGCACTGCCAAAAATTGCCATACCGTATAAAAGAAAATTTTCCATGGAAAAAGTCGTACAATGACAATTCAAGACTACAAGCACTCCGTTTTAACGTGAAATGCAATTGCGAGTAGGAGTGGGAGATGGCTTGGAGGTTGTACATGTAAGTACGGCACACTTCAATAGATTTTGTGAATGGCAAATTACAAAACACGTCGTACATGTACGAACATAATTTTCCTAGTGAAGGCTATACCTAATATGCGTTACACACTGCACACGTATCTCTCGGCAGGGTAGCGGAGTGTACCAGGAGTGTACCGACTGGCGGCACCGACAGGCGTCGCGACGCCGGACCGGTTCCCGAAGAGCAACGAACGAACTGCGACCGC